ACCACCAAATACACATCTAGTGATTAATGAGTTAGCATCTCTTTATAGCAACATTCCTCACATGGATGGGATATCTGCATGTCACAGATTCTTATCATCATCCCCAAAGTACAAATACAGTGCTGAGGTTGTTAAAACCCAAGGACAGATGCAGTCATCTTCACAGTTCCAGCTTCTACCCCCAGCACACTAAACAAGCCATCAAACACAGCAAGGCCACTAGATACCACTGCATATGGTCTGACGATACACAATATTATTATTATTATTATACAGGATTTATATAGCACCAACAGTTTGCTCAGCACTTTACAATATAACGGGAGACAATACAGCAACAATGTAGTTCAATACAAGAGGGATTTGAGGGCCCTGCTCCTTGGAGCTTACAATCTAGGAACATCTAGGAGCTAATAGAATCCTTCCTTAGGAAAGGTTATAGCAACAAAACCATCAGTACATGCCTAAATGCTGCCTTGAAAACCAAAAAGGAGAAAACATTTCTACAATACAAAGAGAAAAAAAAACAAATAGCCATGCACCCCTTGTAACCAAATACAACCCAGCACTAGAAGGCATAAAAACAGATAATCAAAGAGCTGCAACTCATCATAACAGAAGTAGAAAAGCTAAAATAAATCTTCCAACAAACCCCAATGCAAAGTGGCTCTACAAAAATGAAAAACTGTTATAGTACTCACCCTTCAAGGAGCTGCTGTTTCCTTGGGTCCCCTGCTCTCATCAAAGAAGTGACCAAAGGGCCTCTCACAACTCTCAATGGTCCTGATGTGTCTTCTGAAAGCCTGGTGAGGGTCACACTCCATGCCCAGGGTTTCCTCCTCAAACTGGTGTTGAATGAACCTACAGGCTTCTCCCTTCCTGATGACCTTAGCAGTAGAACTGCACAGTACCTTTAATGGCACAGTCTCTGCCAGGCACAATGACATGAGAAAGCCTCTGAGGAGCACAGTTCAGCAGTTTTACTTAGAGCCCTTTCTGAATACGGGTCTGTGACGATTGCGCGTCAGACCCCAGCCCTTCTCACCAAACTCATGACCGAAGGACTAGCCAATCTAAAACAGCGATGTCACGTGCTTAACAATGCCACGCCCAGCTGCACCCTGCACAACGATTTTCCAGCTAATGGACCACAAATCCATGTACCGGCAGCCTGGGAGCGAAAGAGGAAACTCGGCAATATCAGCAATAACACTATGATGGTTGCAATAAACGTCTGTATACCACTGTCACCGCAGACAGGTTATACAGATGGTTAAACACACAGTAGCGCTCTTCAGCAGCAGGAATTCGTAAGTTGCATTAAAGAGCTATAGAAACACTTCAACACTTTCAGAAAGAAAGATTTATTACTAAAAGGTCAAAAGGGCAATAAAAGTATTTACAGAAAAAAGATGTAACCAATAGATATATAAATATACAGAGAGCAATAACACAGCAAAGCGGTAACAGAAAGGAGGTTAAAGGGTTAAAGTACTTGCCAATCAACCTTGGGTTAAGCAGATCAAGTTTCAAAGCAAAAGGGCACCGTCTCCCAAGTTGGTTCTGATGTTAAACGGGAGAATTCTTCAACTTCCACTCTTACGCCTGACAGCCTATTTTGTAGTCTCCCAGCAGGGGGTGTCTCTGGAGCAAAGGACCAATGCCTCATTTGGGCAGGGGTGTCTGGGCGGAGACCCAAACTAGAACCAAAATCTCTCCTAGCTCATATTTTGGCTCATAACTTTTCCTAGGCACAAGTACCATTCCACCCGTGGGTAGATTAATATGCAGACGCATCTGAGGAACGGTTAGATATGAAATATAAAATACAGACTTGAATGGTTCAAAAGATGTAATTTTCTGCTTTCCTATATATTCCAGCCAAGGAGAGTGACATATCAAACTTGTCTTCTCGTGGCCAATCTGAAGATATGCCTGTTTTTTATGCAAGTCTTTCATATTCCAAGATATGAGACATAGGGGAAAAATGGATTTTGAAAGTGTAATCTAGTTTCTTGCTCCTCTGGAATGTCTTTGAACTCATGGGAAGGCTTGGGTTATCCTTTTACGATGTGCCAGATTGCACAGGTTCTTTAGACAGCGAGGTCCCAGCTCCCTTGGGGGTTTTATAGCTCGGAGCATCCCTGCTGTGCTCTGGCCTCCTGTGACACTTCCAACACAAACACCGACCAAATGTCACTGTGGCTCTCAGAGAGGGAGGGGGGTGATCCAAGAGGGGAGAAGGATCTACAAGATGGAGGGTTTGGAGCAAAATGGTTGAATCGCGTCAATCTCTGTGGGCATGATTGCTACAGGGTCCTGGTGGCCACTACTCCCGAACAGCAATGGCAGCTCCTTAGTCCTCACACCAGACATCACACTGTAGAATGGGCAAACCAGGTCTCACTTCACACTGTTTTCCCTCTCTGGGTCCTTTAGCAACAGAACAGTAAACTGGTTGTAAAGCTGGTCTCCCAGCAGCAGTTCAGTTCACAAAGGTAGGTGTGCAGCCTGGAACTTTGTGGCTGTGTTCAGTGACCTTTCTTTCCAGTAGCAGCCAGTCGGAGATCCTTATGTTTGTTATGTGTTTTTATTCACACAGAATGCCTAAAAATGTTTTTCTTTCTTACATGTTTATGTTTCTTTAGAGCAGGTTTATACACAAGACATCATGGATTAGTATACCTTTAACCACTAGCCTACAGGGCACTTATACCCCCTTCCTGCCCAGCGCAATTTCCAGTTTTCAGCGCTGTTGCACTTTGAATGACAATTGCGCGGTCATGGAACACTGTACCCATATGACATTTTTATCATTTTTTTGTGACAGATAGAGCTTTATTTTGGTGGTATTTAATCACCTCTGGGTTTTTTTTTTTTCTTAAACAAACCAAAAACTACTGAAAATTTTGAAAAAAAAGTTTTTTCTTAGTTTTTGTTATAAAATTTTGTAAATAAGTGATTTTTCTCCTTCACTGATGTGCGCTAATGAGGCTGCACTGATGGACACTGATAGGTGGCACTGATGGGCACTGATGAGGAGGCACTGGTAGGTGGCACTGATGGGCATTGACAGGCATCACTGATGGGCACTGAAAGGCAGCACTCATATATGGCACTGATAGGTGGCACTGATAGGCGGCAGTGACTGGCACTGGTAGGTGGCACTGACTGGCACTGTTAGGCGTCACTCATGGGCAGCACTGACAGGCACTGATAGGCGGCACTGATGCACACTGATATGCGCACTGATTGGCATTGATAGGTGGCACAGACTGGCACTGATGGGTGACACTGAAAGGCAGCTCAGATGGGCACTGATATGTGGCATTGATGTGGCACTGAAATGTGGCACTGATGTGGCCCTGATAGGCACTGGCAGGTGGCATGGATGAGCACTGAGAGCTGGCACTGACGGACACTGATAGGTGGCGCTGCTGGGGCTACATAGATCATCAGGGCACACTGATCGTCAGTGCTCTGATGATCTGCGTACATGTCCCCTCCAAGGAATGTCGATTACCAGCTCTCCTCTCCTCATCAGCTGTCAGCGTGACAGCTCGTGGGGAGAGAAATGCCAATAACCGGCATTTCCCTGTTTACATGTGATCAGCTGTGATTGGACACAGCTGATCACATGATGGAGCCGACATCTTCGTCTCTTTCCGTGGGTCGGTGATCCGCTGTGATCCGGCGATCGGCGCGCTGCGTGGTCCGGCAGCTGCGCATGCGCGGTTAGAAAGTATAAAATATATCATGTCTGGAATTATTCTTTAACATTACATAAAATGAAAAGCTAACCAAGACTTTATAACAAGAAAAAAAAACAAACAATGAAAAAAATGTAAGCAACACATTTTTATTTTTTTTAACCTATATAAAGTGTTATGCCTACAAAAGTAAAAATACACATTAAAAAGGGGTGTTGTGAAAAAGTGTGTTCTGTTGTACTTCTCTTGATGTTTATTGTGATGCTTGTGGCATGAATGCCTTTTTTTTTCTTATAACTACTTTCTATGCAGCACCATCCATTTCACAGGGAAATCTATGGTCTTAACATACACTTTCAGTATATAACATCAGCACTGTAATAACAATACAAACAATAGTTATTATTGACAATGTAATATTAATTTATATTAAGTTTACTTGAAAAATGTGCTTTTATGTTGTGAGTTCTGCTTTCTGCTGGCCATTTCTTTCCACAACATCCTGGGCTCCCTGCATGCTTTGCAGCTTCTCCTCTGTTGTTTACTTTCAATTTCTACAGACTACATATCCCATGGTACCTTGCTGCCTGAAAGCAGTTTCCTATACTGACTCCGCCTTCTGAAACTCCTCCTCTCAGCACCTCTGTAGATCAGAAGGCAGGCTCTGTGAAATGTGTGACACAGCAGTGCCTACTTACAGAGCATAATGAATACATGTCAAATAATTCAAGGAAGTAAATGTGTGAGGATTTTCAAGCAAGTTTACAAACTTTAATATCATTCTGATTATTAGAAGTAGGCTAGAAATAATTGAAATACAATTTGGAAATGATGAATATATGAGTTTACATTTTGATCATAGATATACTTTAAGCCTGCTACAAATCATAATGGAATAGTGGAGCTTGTTTTCCGTTGTAATTCATTCTGTTTCAGGGCTAATTCACACCTGGATCCTGTGTGGTTGGAACGCTGTGCAGGAAAAGTGCACGGAACATGCTTTCTGCTGTGAACTGGCCCTCGATGAATGTATGAAGAAAAAAAAACATTTGACTTCTAAAACACCACCTAGGCTCTATTTTTAGTAAACAGGTCCCACTGTGTTTTACTAATAACAAACCTGTAGGAAGGGAAACAGCCTGTCATTGTTGACATCCTTCTAAAAATGCTAGCTACCTGGTTGTTTCTTTCTTCTTTATTACTTTCATGCTTTACTAAATTCAGAGTGCAAAAGGGTCTTGAAAGCTACATATCAGTCTAGAAAGCATAATATTACTATAGCTGCCAGGGACCTAGTATTTTTAGATCAACAATGTCAGCCACCATGCCTTTTAACCTCTTCCTGTCCGGCCCATATCGATAAACGGCCAGACGGGCGACGTTTCTAAGCGTCCCCCCCGCATCTATTGCCTGTGCCTCCCTGGGAGCGCACGGCACCGTGATCAGTGCCCGCTGTGTCCTCCGGACACAGCAGAACACCGATCGCTGTAAGGGACCTCTGTGTAAGGTCCCGATTCATGTGATCTCTGATTGGCCAATCAGTGATCATATGAACAGTAGTAAGCAAGATGTCACTTCCTGCCATCATTGCTTAATACGTGTGAAATCTGTGAATGATCACAGAGATCACATGGTACAAGGCTATTCACAACAGCCTTGTACCATGTGACAAGCTGTGACCAATTACAGCTTGCACAGTATTTCTCAATGGCTGAAAATGTCCAGACTTGAAGTGGTTAAATACAGATATCATTTAGTCACAGCAGATCAGTTAATATACAGTGGGCAAGATACAAGAAACTTCTTAGACCTCATGCATACAGGGCATTTAACCCCTGTGGATGACACTTTGATAATTAAGTGCTGGGTGGAAGGCACAGGTGTCTTACCCAACTATGCTGTTGGCAGCCTATCAAACTATATGAGATTCTGACAGTTGCTGCAGGTGAACGGGGCTGGACTATACATCAAGCAGTAGTAACCTTTAGAGTAGTATGTGCTCAGCAGGGGTGTAACTACAGGGGCGTAACTACAGGGGCCAAAGGGGTCGCATTTGCGACCCTGCCCCATACTCCAGAGGGCCTGTGTGGCTCCCTTGTACACTCAGATAGGAAGGGCAGTGGGGGCGGCATATAAGGAACCGATCCCCACCCTTCTCCTCCTTCAGCTGATAAAAGCCTGCTTCTCCTCCTCTTTCTCTACCGCATTCAGTGGCTTCAGGAGGAAAATTGAGGGGATCAGTTCCTCTATATATGCCACCCTTGACACCCCTCCTATCCAGGTTACTTGTCTCCTGCTAAATATGTGCACAGCAGGGGCATAACTACAGGGGTCAAAGGGGTCACATTTGCGACCCTGCTCCATACTCCAGGGAGCCAAAGGGGTCATATTTGCGACCCTGCCCCATACTCCAGGGGGCCTGTGTGACTCCCCCATACGCTTAGATAGGAAGGGCAGTGGGGGCGGCATATAGAGGAGTTGATCCCCACCCTTTTCCTTCTGCAGCTGCTAAAAGCCTGCTTCTCCTCCTCTTCCTCTTCTGAAATCAGCAGCTTCAAGAGGAAAATTGAGGGGATCAGTTCCTCTATATATGCCACCCTTAACACCCTACTTGTCTCCTGCTGCCCCTAGGCCCCTGTTTGCTCCCCTGGCCCCCCTCGTGCCCTTGCTGTGCTTCTGGCTTCCCTCCTCTCCTGTCCCACCAGATGCGGTGGGGGATGTGTCAGGATGAAGAGTGGGGAAGGTGCAAGTTAATATGTAATTTACTTATCCCTTCCTTTACTGAATCGACACAGTCAGTGATCAGTACTGAGCATTACTGTGTCCATTCATAACCGAGGCATAATAAACTATGTTTACTATGCCTCAGTTTTTAAATGAACAGGAAGCTCTGTGCAGAGCTATTCCTGTCCATTCATTCTGTGCTGCAAAGGCTGCAGATATGGAGACTGAGGGCTGTGTCCTCAATGTCCTTTCTCTATCTCAAAAGGTAAAACATCAGAGATCTGTTTAGACCCCTGATACTTCACCATGGCCCCCCAACAGAAGTCCTAAAAAATAATAAAAACAAAATATGATGGTAAGAAAATAAAAAAAATTAAATAAAAATAAAAAAAAACTGGCACCAGTGACAGAAATACCAGGGTTGCAATGGTCCTATTTGTGACTGGGCCCTGGTGTTCCACCACTGTAGAGAGACCCCAAGATGGGAGGAAGGGGGCCTGCTGTAGAACATGTGAAAAAGTTCCACTGTGGGACCGCAATAAAGAGCCCCGTGACAGGAGTAAAGGGCCCTGGGAGTAGCAGAAAGGACCTCGGCCAGGGGTCAGGGGGGCTCTTCATAGCTTCTTGCACTGGGGCCCTGATGGTTCTATTTATTCCTTTGGTGCTCAGGCATCCCAAACTGCTTTACAGGCTGCCAGCAGCAGGGCTGAACCTTGTGTCTTCCACCCGCACCTAAATTTTGGAAGTCTCATGCATCAGGTCTAAATGCCCCAGTGTATATGAGGCCTAAGAAGGAACTCTTGTATTTTAATAACATCAATGTCACCTACAAAAAAAATTGCTTTTAATTAAAATGATGGACTACTAATTATGATCATCTCATGGAAAATCTGCATCATTTTCTAATTCTAGAAGACAATTTTTGCTACAAATTACTGCTAATGCCAATCATAAATTTAATTTAGCTGTTCCCAATAGATAGACAAATGATTTAAAAAGCAGTATATATTGACACAAGATTAAACATAGTCTCACTTTGCATCTGAGTTCAAAAACTTTACAGACAGAATGCCCCTGCGCACCTTGCAGGGGCTAACTCTGATGCTGTTTACATTCAAGTCTAAATATTGTATTTTTCCCTTGGCAATGAATTCAGCTATGAGACAGATCTCCTGCTGTCTTAGCTTTGCAAAGTACATTTTAAGCCTAATATAGCGATTCTCTGTCTATTTACATTGTGCTGTTATTGAAAAGAGGCAAAGGTCAGATGCTGCAATATACAGTAAATATATTATTGTCTTGATTACTCTACTATTATGTTATTTTACTTATTCTTGTGTTACTGTAACAGGGCTTGAATGTGCACACATGAGATGAATGTACAATGCATGGTAGTTGAACACAAGAGAAATGAAAAAAGGTAAAACTGATAGCAAGAAAAATCGCATTTACAGTATGGAATACTGAAACCTAAAGTGCCATAAAAACAATTTTTTTTAAGCTTTCAGTATGGAGAAGAGTTAGAAATTCTCTAACTTTTTTTTTCTGTATGTGCCTCTACTGGAGGGATACATTCTTTTTCCTTTTTTTTTTTTTTACACCTGTTCTGGTTACAACTGTGCAAGACCCTGTTAACACTAGTGCGATTTAAATACTGTAAATATTTTTATTGCACCCTTTTGACCTTTTAGTAATAAATCTTACTTTCTGAAAGTGTTGAATTGTTTCTAACGCTCTTTAATGCAAACTACGAATTCCTGCCGCTGAAGAGTGCTACTGTGTGGGTTTAACCCTCTGTATAACCTGCCTGAGGTGACAGTGGTATACAGACGATTATCCAACCATCATAGTGTATTGCTAATATTGCCGAGTTTCCTCTTTCTCTGTACAAAAAGGAGGTGGTGGCAGTGTGAAGGGTTAATTGCGTAATTAACCTGACTCAGTAACAATCGCTCCCAGGCTGCTGATACACAGATTGTGGTCCATTAGCTGGAAAATCTTTGTGCAGAGTGCAGCTGGGTGTGGCATTGACAACGCGGTTTTAGATTGGCTAGTCCTTCGGTCACAAGTTTAGTGAGAAGTGCTGGGGTCTGACGCCGTGATTGTCACAACTAGTAGTTTGAGTTAAAGGTTGTTTAGAAACCCATGGTGGATGTGGTGTTATGTTGCCACCTCACTGCCTGTTTTAACCCCTAAAAACTCATGGGTGTGGGTATTTAATTGAATGAGTCGTGTTTGGTAGTGATGTGCCAAACAGCTCCGGGTTCGGTTTGGTAGTGGTTTGCCATACTTCAGAGAAGTTGGGATGCCAAACCTGAACCCCACTGAAATCACAACCAAATCTGTAAAGTTAAAATGCCCATTTTCTGGGCCATTCCACAAAAATACTAACTATACCTAAACCTGCTCCCGCCCCATTCTAAGACTATTCTATCTACCCTGCAAAGGAAAGATGTCTATACTTACCCACTCTGAGGATGCTCTGGTCCGGTCACATGATCAAGTCCTAGTGCTAACTTCAGTGTAGAGGAGGGGGACAGCTGACAACTTATGCCCCATAGTAAGCTTATCGTGACATCACTGCCCAGGCTCTGCAGATGTTGTCAGTGATCTCTCCTTTTCTCTGAAGCTGCTGATGGAGAGATCAAGTGACCAGACTGGAGTGCCTTCAGAATAGGTAAGTCGGAGTCACACACGATTTGAATGGTTCCATTGCTGACAATAGGGTGCGACTTGTCATGCGATTTGAAACCGTCAAATCGCATGACAAGTCGCACCAGTGGGAACCAGGGCTTAGGGATAATTAGTATTTGACTGGAATTGCTTTAAACTTGAGTGTATTTTAACTACTTCAATAGCGGGCACTTTTACTTTTTACCCCCTTCCTGCCCAGACCAATTATTCGCTTTCAGCACTGTCTCACTTTGAATGACTTTTGCATGGTCATGCAACACTGTAACTAAACTAAACTTTTATCATTTTGTTCACACAAATAGAGCTTACTTTAGGTAGTATTTGATCACCACTGTTTTTTTTTTATTTTTTGCTAAATAAACAAAAACAGACTGAAAATAAAATTTGCAAATAAATAATTGTTCTTTATAAATTTAGGCCAAAATGTATTCTGCTACATTTCTTTGGTGAACAATAACCCAAATCAGTATTTATTATTTAGTCTGTAGGAAAGTTATAGAGTCCACAAACTATGGTATATACAGTTGCAAGAAAAAGTATGTGAACCCCTTGAGATTACGTGGAGTTTTTGCATGAATTGGGCATAAAATGTGCTCTGAACGTCATCTAAGTCACAACAATAGAAGAACACAGTCTGCTGAACATAATACTACACAAACATTAGATGTTGCCATGGTTTAATTGCACATAACATGTAAACATTCACAGTGCAGGGAGGAAAAAGTATGTGAACCTTTGGACTTAAAACCTGGTTGACCCTCCTTTGGCAGCAATAACCTCAACCAAACGTTTCCTGTAGTTGCAGATCAGACCTGCACAATGATCTGGAGTAATTTTGGACCACTCCTCTTCACAAAACTGTTTCAGTGTAGGAATATTCTTGGGATGTCTGGTGTGAATCGCTCTCTTAAGGTCATGCCAAAGCATTTCAATGGGGTTGAGGTCAGGACTCTGACTGGGCCACTCCAGAAAGCGTATTCTGTGCTGTTGCAGCCATTGTTTTGTTGAATTACTTGTATGCTTTGGGTCATTGTCCTGTTGCATCACCCATCCTCTGCGGAGCTTCAGTTGGCGGACAGATGGTCGTACTTTTTCCTGCAAAATGTCTTGATAAACTCTGGAATTCATTTTCCCATCAATGACAACAATCCGTCCAGGCCCTGAGGCAGCAAAGCAGCCCCAAACCATGATGCTCCCTCCGCCATGTTTCACAGTGGGGATGAAGGTTTTGATGTTGGCATGCTGTGCCTTTTTTTCTCCACACATAGTGTTGTGTGTTCTTCCCAAACAACTCAATCTTAGTTTCATCTGTCCACAGTATATTTTGCCAGTAGTGCTGTGGAACATCCAGGTGCTCTTTTGCAAACTTC